CCCCAAAACCCCAAAACCCCAAAACCCCAAAACCCCGAAATGTAAATTTGGTTATAATAAGAGGATAAATATAAAGGAGTAAATATAAATTGAAATTGGTGAGTGAAGTATTAATGTAAAGTTACTCAAAGTGCTTAAAATTAATATATTGAGTGATCCATAACTTCTGAGCGGATGAACAGCTTAAGCAGTATTAATAGACAATTCAAGCACAATCAACATTTCTCACTTAAAAGAATAGTTGACTCATTCCGCTGCTCAATCCCATCTGATGATATCTTCGATGCTTTCAGAGATGCATCTGTTAATGATCTCGCTCAACATTTGAGAAATAGTCTTCTCCACAGTCTTGGTTACTCTCTTTTCGATATCTTTGTCTGGATCCTCAACAATATCTTTAACGTTGCAACCGCAAGAATTATCAAATCCAAGGAAGTCTCTTCCACTGATGCCGTGACAATCGCACTCAACATCGTGATCATGATCAATATCCCAGTAGTTATCTCTAGCATAACCAGTTTAGTTAAAGCATGTACCTTCTGTGTTGCATTCTTGTTAGACATCATAAGAGCTTTCCTTAAGTCTTCCTTCGACCTAGAATTCTTTTTAGTCGTATCTAGATCTCTTTCCGATTGAGGTGCTGCAGACATCAGCAGTTATGTTCTGAGTTACATTAGTTGTAAGAGTCTGGACTGGAATGATTGTGGCTGAGACGGAGGCTCTGTGCTCCTCGATATGTCTTTGCCCAGGTTTGTGAGAGCTGTGTGATTCACAACCCCAATCATCGATTCTGCAGTCGCAATCTTCTCTATGTTGGCCTTCAACTCCTTAGTGGTCCCATGAATTGAATGAATTCAAATCCTCGCAATGATCTTGATGTAATGTGTCTTCAGGTTCTAAAGCACCAAGGATAATGGGGATACCTTATTCATCAACGATGGGGTTGTTTAAACAGATATAAATTACTGCCTTTTCTATTTATACGAGTTACTTAGTAATTGAGAATGGAGGCCTGATCTAGCATCTTTAAGATTATGTCTCCTAAGATTTTCTTGAAGAGGGTCACGTCCTTAAAGGATATCGGCGTGAGCCTAGGAGATTAAAACTGTTCCAACGAATGCCAGTGAGAGTGATATTTTCTTCATTATCAATATGAGTAATTGATTCTATCTTATAGTTGAATGACTTTTATAAATGTCTAGGTTGCTATTTTTAGAAACTCTAGCATTTACTGATTGAAGTGCTGGTCAACATTGAATGAGTAAGCTACAACTTATTAAATTTTACAATAAAGCGAAAACTCCTTATTAAGATTTTCTTTAATTTATTAATCCATTTTAATCTCCTTTAATTCTCTATCATGGGGTTTTGGGGTTTTGGGGTTTTGGGGAGATCGGAAGAGCGTCGTGTAGG